ATATTTATCCGAGTATAATAATATCCCCAACTTTATGGATGATTTTATGGATTAAATTTTACGTATTATACTTGAATAAATATGGTACATAGTATACAAAAAATATTAGAAGCACGCACAACCAGCACAACAATGGAGTGGTTAGCATAGCTGTAAGGTGTCCAGTTTGAATCCTGTTTAGCTGAGCCTGCATGGAGTTTGTATGTTCTCTTTGTGCATGCAAAGATTTTTCTGCAAGTACTCCTGTTTTCTCCCAAAGTTCAAAAACATGCACATTAAGTTAACTGGTGGATTTAATCTCTTACATCAAAAATATATAACACTTTATTAATATACTTAACCCTAATAAAGACACATTTATTTATACATGTGCATGTTAATTTAAATGTAAAACACACCTTTACTGCAGCCAAATGGGTTTTCAAGATCAAAATGACTAGCTCCAGGCTGACAAGAATCACATTTGTCTCCAGTTGCCAGCAGCTTACACACACATTTCCCTGTGTCTGGATGACACAAACCACTGGCACTACCTACTGGGTGACAGGCACAAGGCTGGCATCTGCTTATCAAACAAAGGCAAAAACAAAAAAATTAAGAGGATTATGAGGATTATAAAAACATTTAGAAATGCAACATAGAACTGGTTAACAATATTAATTGAAAGTCTGGAATTTATATGTTGTCTAACGACTGTTTTTGTAATGTAAAAAGTATTAACTATTGCAACCATTGATTAACATTGCATCTTCTTGCTCTGGAACACACATGGATTAAGATTAAGAGGCTATTTTTAATTGATAAAAGTTGAGACCGTGATTATCTCTGTGTGTTAACTTTGCGATGGACACCTGATTTGTCCTGGATGGACATCACAACAAACAAATGCAGGCAAAGATTAGCTCCAACTTCCCATTATCCTCTACAGAAGACTTTCCCAACCTTTTCTTTAAAAGTTCATATAAAATAACAGAGATGGTTGCAGATGTTTTTCTATCAGTCATGACAGAAATATTCTCATTGGCATACCATGTCTTACTATTTTTGTGTTTGGAAAACCGTCACGCTGATAAAGTTGTTACATATAGCAACAATTAAAACATTAAATGGCTGTGCAAACGTTCAAAGACAACTTGCAGTAGAGTGTGGGTGTATGTGTGTACTGGGTTATCTCCTTAACACAGTAAGGGAGATCCTGACTAGCATTTTCCTCACCCTGCACCCTTTAGCTGTGAAATTAACTTCACATAAACTGCATACCCCATCAGAGTTGTCAAAGCATGAATGGATGTGTGTGACTGTATGTGTGCGTCTGACAGTGTCAATGTCTGGGTCACTGATTCGGTGTTACCCTCAGGGGGGCTGAGCAGTGGGTGAGCATACGGCCACCCACCTCACACCTTTATACACACACAAATGCATGTGGCATAAACTAAGCATTGGGCAATGTTCGGCAGACTCAAAAACACTCCACACTGGCAAGGTGATACCATATAACCCACGCCACTGCCACACACACCCAGACAATATTGATGCATGTTTCTTTATTCTGCTGTATACTGTACTCACATGTTACGTGTGTATCTCTCACACACACCCCTACACCTTCTTTATTGCTGTGTGAAAAGCCACAGCCTCATAAAGAGCCGCAAATTTGTCCTGTCAACTGTGCTCAAACAGAAACACATAAAAGATACACAAAATGCCACAATGACTCGACCTTCACTCCCATTCCCAAGGAGACAGAAAACACAAACATCGCACCCAGTTTTCCATTTTTAAAATAAGCCTAAAACTGCATTGGGTGTGTGTGTGTGTGTGTGTGTGTGTGTGTGTGTGTGTGTGTGTG